CTTATTTCTAGTCCGTTGTCTCTTGTTTCCCTGTGCAAATATCATTCAGCATTTTTTTTTCTACAATCACTTGCCATTTTGTGTGGTTTTTGCAGCTAATATTTGCTGGCTCGTCCTGAGTAGCTGTCTCTGTCTCGTTGTCAATGCGCTAGGTAAAATGACAAATCAAACAATGCTAAAAATACACTGTGCATGTGGGTGTGTGTGTGTGTGTTTATATTTTTGGGCTTGGGCCTTTTGTTTGGCTGAGCAAATGTAGCAGAAATCTTATTTAAGTGAATTCAGGCCGAAATCTTAGTTAATTTTTATGGCAAATATGCTAAGCTAACGAAAACCAAGAACATTGTGTGCTGCTTACAAGTGCTTTAGCTGATGTCCTTGCTGACATCAGGACTAAGCTCTCTGGCTTTGTCATACTAATTGAAGCTGTAAGAAACTCAAATTGCTAGACAACGGGTCAGTTAACATGTCTGGGATTTGGTTAGGCAATTTAAAAATGGAAAATAGGTATTTCTGTAGCTGTCTGGTAGAGTGTGCGAACACAATTGGTGTTACGTGGCGTATGCTTAATATGCGCTGCTGCTAAGGCAAGACCAACATAAATATTCCGAGGAGACTTGCATGCACAATATTTGCGGTCTTATTGCGCAAACGTCGCATTGTCATGTCTACAAATTTATTGCCAGCCATTCATTCGGTGTTGCTCAAAAACAAATTTTTGAACATGGCCAAACGAAAAAAAAAAGAAGGAAATAGATAACTCATGGCACACATTGGCCGCCATGGCCAATTGCTGTCAAATGATATGTTGCTTACCTATGTATATCGACTATATTCGTTTTTTCTTTCTTTCTTTTTTATGATTATTATTGGATTGCATTGTTATGCAATGAAAGTCATTATTTGTGTGACGGTGCGGGCTGGGCGTGACAGAGGATTGTGTTTGACAATTGCGTGCCCAAAAATAGCAAAAAACTCTTATTGGATTTCAAAGACATTGAAGAAATATGGCCATGCCATAGCATGTTACATGCTCTACAAGTCTATTGATTTGTTATGACGACAATGACAACGACAACGACGTCAGCGCTGGATGTGGGGTCGAGCGGTTGGCTGCTATAACAACTGTCTATCATTCATTTATATAAGCTAAAAGCAAAAAATTCGCCCATAAACGACAAGAACGTCGTCAAGTGTTGCCATGGCCATTGTTGTAGCTGCTGTTATTGTTGCTGTCGTGTTGATTGCTGTTGCTGCTGCTGCTGCTCTCCTTGTTGACATTTTCATTAGCAAATTAATTTTAATTGATTACATTTTATGCGCAAATGTGTAGACAACAGCGTTCGGTAGCTCTTCGATATATTGAATTACCATTTTATTTATAGCTTGGCTGTCTTTTTATTCACTTTCCACTACTTGCCAGCAAAATTCTGGTTGGTAATAATGTGATAATATTAGTTGATTTCATTTGTGCGGAGGTACACATAATTTCATTAAAGTAACCTGAGAACGCAGCTGAAATTGGCAATGCAAAGTGCGCCTCAAAGCACAATTTGTTCTCAGTTTTCAGAGCTTCTCATATTCGGAGACAATTTCGATAATAATAAAGGTACATAACGTAACGAGAGTTCTTAAATACCTTAATGCTTTGAGGTGGAAGTTCCAATTCCAAAGTAGAATCTTACAGGATTTTGTACAAAAATTTGCATACACATATTTCTTTTTTCAAATAGTTATTAGAAACAAATTTTATCTAACCTTATCTTTAGGATAGTTCACATTCATGGTTTTTTAAATTCTTAAAATATTTCAAAAATACTCAAAAAGTATTTGTTTTCGACCATTTCATTATTTTTCGTCGGAATTAAGAAGCATGCAATTTGCAAAATACGTTCTCTTATATTCTCTCGGCTCACGAGCGCAAGTTGAAAAAGTTTTTAAGCACGCACCACAAAGTGGACAAAAAATAAAAGAACTTTCAACATGTTAACTTTAAGTTAAATTTTCTGCAATGGTGCGACAAAAATTCAAACCGAGGGGCAGCTAACAGTGGTGTAAGGTGTTCTTATCTCAAGTACTTACCTTGTTGCCAGATCCCGATGTACGAAATTCATTTGCTCCAAATGCTTCATGCCCGATGCAATTTGTGTGGCAATGTAGACTAAGCAGCCATAGCTACAAGACGTTGTTGCACGGTTGGTGGGGCATGGTGGGGCACGAAACGGATGCCGGGCGGAGGAGGATGCCAACGTCAAATGAGAATTTGAAAAGTTTTCGCGTGTGGTAAGGACCACAACGACAACGACAACGATGACGATAGCAGCGGCAGCAGCAGCAAAGTTAACGAAGTTTTTACATCCGTTTGCGCATGTTGTTGGTGGTTGTTCGGTGGTGGATCGGCGTAATCATTGAACACGAGACCGGAAGTGTAGCGTCGGCAAATGGCGTCGGTAACGGAAACATGATAAAAACGCACGCAAAAACGCAGCCAAAAACCAAAAGAGACAGCACATTAGAGTGTTGTTCAGTTAAGCGCCAAAGCACAAGTATATTCTCTCTCTCTCTCTCTCTCTCTGCCTGTTTATCTTTACATACCTCAGACTCTTGTTGGCCATCAGTCCGCTTGTTTCAGCCACATGCTCCTGCAGAAATTGATTCAAGTCACCCAGACAATTCGAATAGTCCTGCACAATACATATGGGCTCATCCCGCAGGCAGGCGCCCACCAAGCGAGCCACATTCGCATCGCTGAGACGCGCCAACTGCTTAGCTTTGCTGCGAAATTCCTTTCTCAGATGATCGCTTGCACCAGGACGAAGTGTGGCAACTGCGACAAGGGTGGCGCTGTTAGTAATATATGAAACAAAGAAGATAATATGAGATGTCGGATATTAAGGTTGAGCAAGCGCGTTTAGATTTAAGAGAGAAAGTACTATCGAAAGCAGGTCGTTTATATTCGTGAAATTCTAGTACTAGATCTTATTTTCCAAGGATCTATTTATTTAGATATTTTTTCCTGATTATGTTTTGTATTTAATGTCATCCTAATGGACTCTTTCTTTTTACACATTTTTTTTACCTCATTTAAAATAGTTTTGAATTTCTATGAATCCAAATGTATTCATAATATAAAATATCCTTCGTATGAGAAGCTTAGTGGCACAAGCAGGTCAATACAGATGCGATACTTGAACTATTGATAAGTGTTCCCTTTTTGTAGGTAACTTATATGTAAACCGCAAATACTCAACTACTGCTAGTGCTATTCTGTCACAGGTTCCGCTGTACCGCCCCAGTTTTCCATCACAATGCCACCAATAGCTACAGTCTATATCAATTGAAATACGTATGCCCATGACAATTGAGCTCTAGCGCAAAAATCAATTAGAGCAGCTCAACAATGTCCTGTTTCATGTCCTGGCGCTGCTGCTGCTTCGATAGCTGGCAATGGTCGTCCTGGCAATTTTGATACGTTTCGTAACAATTCGATTTGCCTGCTTGCTTTAATAGTTTTGCGGTTAGAAAGCCACAAAACGTATTACGTATACGTAATATTGCACTGCAGTGGCAGAAAAGGCAACAGCAGCAGTAAAGATGACCCCTGGCTGCAGGTTCTCGGCAGCTGTATGCAAAATAATTAACACACACACGCACACATATACACGTACGCACACACACGCAACTGAATTGCTCGTAGGGTCTGCTCTGTGCTAAAACTTCAAGTGGCCGGCATCGAATGAGGTCGTCCGCCTGCCTGCCACCCTGCTGGCCTCTCATGTGGGGCGTGGCCGTCTGATAAAATATTAATAGACAGCTGGATAGACAGTTATCAGACAACAGATGGACTTTATTGTCCTAGACCACAGATGAAAATTATAATAGACATGCAAGTGGAAAATCAAACTCGCACACTCACACACACACGTTACGCATACGCCGTGCTGTCTGCGAAAATGAATACATTTCACTGCAGCAGATAGAGAATGTTGTAGCCAATGCATGGCCACGCCCTATGTGCTTATATATGTATAATGTGCAATAAAAAGCTTCAATTAATCGGCAAAAATGAAATCAAAGGTAACGCAGCATCCACCATCCCCGTCGTCGCCGCCCCCTGCCAACAAACCATATACAATGGACGTATTCGCCGCCCGAATCGTCTCGACTGCGTCTGATATTTTTGGTCCTGTTACTGCAGAGCCAGTGCTCTTGTTGACATTGCTATTGCTGTTGCTGTTGTTGTTGTTGCCTTTTTTGGTTCAACTTTTCATAATGGAATTTCTGATAAGCTTTTTTGTGGCCAGCATGTGCTGCTGTTGTTGTTATTGTTGTTGTTGTTACCGCAGACGTGGCATTATATCCCGCAAGCCTGCAACCTGCAACTACTACCTGCAGCAGATTGAGTCGGTCCATCTCACAGCCTCATATCGGTTTCGCTTTGCTTTATGTCTTTTCATCCAACAATTTGATGTCCTCTATATATATATATGTGTGTGTGTGTGTGAGTGGCATTAAAGTATTGCGGTTTTTCTTATTGTCAACTATTGTTATACCATGTTTTGATTTTGCTTTCTAACAATCTGACAACGTTAGCGACAGGTTCACTGGTATCTATATCCTTTATATAAATTGGGCAATCATTTTTTTTCGTTGGGAAGCAATTTGTCAAAATATATGTTGCATTTGATGGAAAAATGTCCTGATTGGTTATAATTGCTGTACATTTTGTGCGGGCTATTTTTGCTATATGTTTAAAATCGATATATGGCATTTTTGGTATTTTTATAGACCTTTACTAAAGGTATTTTGTAGGCGCCCTATTTGTGTAACCATATATGTATATATGTATGTTTGCAAGCGTGTTTAATGTAATTAATATTTATCAACGCTGAAAAACGCTTACAGATATTTTGCATTATATTGCGGAAGTAATTTGAACCCTTTTAAATCAATTTGTTTTGCTAATTTAAATAGACAGTATATAAGAAACGTCAGTTAAACTCATTAAGTACAACTATTCTATAAAAATGAAGTTCATTATCGGGCTTATTTGTGCTCTTTTCTTAGCTGAAAGCGCGTACGAATCAAGGATTCCTCCGTGGTAAAATGCCTCCATGTTCATAAGTATATATATTTCATTTTTTATAACTTTGTATCGCACTTTCCTTCGCAGCACTAATTTTGGATGCAATTGGGATGAAGGAGCATAATTGTGTTCATTTGAATTTAGAATTTGCTGCATATCATAATAAAAAGCAAGTAAAAATTGTGGCTAGCAATGAGAGATTCCCAATATATGGGTAAAATTTCAATTTGCATGTAAGAACTGCAGATCGAACTATCTCACAGCCTTGATTTCACTTTGCTTTTATCCTTTTCATCTAAACATGTCTGATTAAAGTATTGCCATTTTTCTTATTGTCAACTATTTTGTTACGAGTTTTTTATTTTCCCTTCTAACTATCTGACAACGTTAACGACAGGTACACTAATATCTATATCCTTTTATTTTAAATTGGGCAATCATTTATTTTTTCGTAGGGAAGCAATTTGGCGTTATGTCAAATATACGTTACATTTGACATGCCATGATTAGTTATAATTCCTATAAGTTCTCTACGCGTTTGCTTTACTTGTTTGATAAAAGTCTACGAATGCTTTATACCCTCCATGAAGGTATTATCCAAGCGCTGTGTTTGATATCCATACGCATTGTGCTTATGTATATTATAATTAATAATTATTAGCTTTGGTGTACGCTTGAATGCAGTTGTTTTGATTTATATTGCGGAATTAATTTGAAGCATTTGAAATCAATTAGTTTTGCTAATTTAATGATATTTCAATAGACAGTATACAAGGAACGCCAGCTGAACGTTTTAATTGACGGAAATTTATTTCTATTAAAATGAATTTCATTATGGGACTTATTTGAGCTCTTTGTGGATTCTATCGAAGCGTTGTGTTTGTTTATTCATTTGAATTTGAGAGCTGCAGATACACTCGCTCTCACTTCAACTCAAAAATATTTTTTGGGCTCATAGTTACAATCCTAATCTGCTAGTGTACACAAAACTACAGCTTTCGAGAAGTTACACAAAATGTGCTGAAGTGGGATTCTCAAAACAGCAGCCCCCATTGTGAAGTGTAGTCGGAAAATGGCCTGTAAGCCTAATGCAGCTCATTTTGTGTTGTGCTCTGAATTTTAGTTGCATTTTCCGAATGTTTTTCGGCCGCTTGCAGCAGACACAACAACTTGGTTAAGTGTATGGTGCGGCGGCAGTGGATGGGTTAAGGTAAGGTTGGATAGGGTAAGTTGGGGTTGGGCTGTGTTGGGTGCACTACTTACTTCAACACATTTGTTTCGCACAAATGCAGTTCACCAAATACGCCCGAGCCGAGCTTCTCGACGATGACCAGCGACTGGCGCGGAAACTCCTGCACTTGGCAATTGGCCTGCTCCTCGTTGATGTCGGCGAAATTAGCGCTCATATCCAAATTGTAATGATGTGGTTTGCCGCCTGTTGGCGTGGGCGTGGTCGCTGCCGTATTTGAGGAGCTCATACTCAACGAGCCGCTGCTCTGAGAGCCCGCCGGCCCCGTCACTGGTTTGCTGCAAATTGGTGTTGCTGCGTAATATTTCTCTGGTGGCGGTGGCACGGGCGGTACTGCAGCTGCCACTGCTGCTGCAGCTGCCGCCGAAACAACTGGAGCCGCAACGATGGATGCGTTCAGTGAGCTGCGGGCGGTGCCGGTGCCGGTGCCAGCGGCATTGGGCAGCAGCTGCTGCATGTGAGGCACCGCATAGTCCTGGCACACAATGTCCGGCACATCTGTGCAGAGAAGACAGAGAAAGAGAGAAAGAGTGAGAAAGAGTCAGCAAAGGATGGTTTAGAGTTCAGAGAGTGTTAATTTTTGACCATAAAACAGGGCTGTACAACTGCACCTCACTGAAAACAATAAACTTTTAAGCGCCATTTTACGTGCCAGGCAAAAGTTTTGTCGGGCCAACGAATTATACAAAAGATGCCACAACATTTTACAGAAACTCTAGTGAAATTTACACTCTACTACACAAGTCGTAAATGAATGTGCAAGTCGTTTTTAAATTCTTTTAGCTTAAATCTAGCAGGGCAATAAAATGGGAAAATTGTTAGACAAAAAGTGGATTATAAACCAAATTGAAATTGAACAAAGAACTCATAGAACTAAGGAACATTATGAGATAATTACTAGACGCCGTTGCACAGCCTAATGTAAACTTTTAGAGATTAAGCCGGGCAACGACGACTGATTGGTTATAGCATATAATACAAATATTTGATATTTTATAGGGTTGAATATCTTCAAAATATATACTACTAAGTCCTTGGAATATATTTGTTATATTATATTTTGCCCCAAGTACATATAATTTATATTTTTATACATCTGTTCCCCTGTCGTACAGATTGCTCGACTAATCTTAAAACAAATTAGCTCCATCTAATCTAAACAGAAATACAATTTTCTAAATTAAGATTTTGTTTGAAATTTTAATTATGAGGAATCTAGAATTAATTTCGAACAACTTCTGTGTCTTAAAGGAGTTTTCATTTCCCTTTACTATTCGATTTTATACAATTTTTCACAAATTCTAAACATAGTCAATTTTAGGTAAAACAGTTCTGCCAAACACATGACCTAAAGTTGAGTGTTGTAAAAGGACATTTATTTTGCAGCTCGCCAGTTGCCTGCTGTTTGAAGCATATGAAGACAGCAGGCGTACCCTGGGTCACTCATAAATTGAAACTAGAGGGCACACCGAATGCAACTCTGCGCTGAGCATTTTGTCTGCCTTTCTGGCAATCCCCAGCTCAATGTAATGCCATCTCCTTCAGGCAACTGGGTGCCTTTGTCTCTCGTTTTCATTTGTCTTGTCCAGGACTTTTGTGCCTTCAACTTCAAACTTTTCCCATTTAGTCAACTCTCATTGCACATAGAAAAGAAAAAGTGAGTGAGTGAGAGAGAGAGGTAGAGAGGGAGAGACATCCCGGGGGCAAGACAAAATGGCGTGTGGCAAAAAACTAAATGAAATTAATTGCAACTTGGCGTTGTGCTGTCTCCCTTGCGCACACTGTTATCAACTATCCTCTATCCGAGACAAGTTTTAATTTTATTGTTGTTGTAATAACATTATTTAGTTTGTGTGCGGCTCATTGTCAGTCTGTTTTTCGGCCTTACTGTTGCCTGTCATTTTTGCATTCGTAGTGGGAAAACATAAAATAACACTGAGAAAGAGACGGCGAGAGCAGGAGAGATATAGAGACAGACTAAGAGACAGCCAACGAACGTTAATGACAAAACTTTTCGACGACTGTGCAAAATTCGTATGCAAGTTGTCGGAATGTGCACTGTGCATGTGTTTGTGTGTGTGTATATGCGTGTGTGTATATCTATGTGCTTGAGCAATCAGTGCCTCAGTCTTAAAGTTACACTGAAGTTTTGTGGCCTTACTTGATATTGCAGAAATCTCAAATACTCTTCTTCAACAGTAGTGCATTGGTGAATTTACACCATAAATGGTTTTTAAAATTTGTCCATAACAAAATGTAAAATTGTGGGAAAAAAGCGTTGTACAGCATACGTTGAGTAGCATAAAACTTGAAACTAGTTTCTTTTCTTTATTTTAATTAGACATGTTGGGCGTCCTGAATAGTCATGGCCTAAATAAAATCTCTTATTGTATATATCACTTAAAACTTGTAACTTAATGTTTTTTTTTTTTTTAATATATATAAAAATTAACGGCGATATATCTTGAACTTTTTCCGAAGCCCGAATCTTTTACATCACTAAATTCAACTAAACAATATTCTTAATTTTAATTATTTAAATGAATAAATATAAAATAAACTGTATATTCCCCAGCCTTAGTTGCATAAGCTATTCTATATTCCATTTATAGCTCTTTAAATGAAGTATTCGATTGTCTTATGTAGAGCTATGCAAATTGCGACCCGCTTTTAAACGAATTTCGTGCTTGGGCTCACGCTTATAGCCGTGTTTATTTGCATGCAATGTTATTATGTGAAGTTTTTCGCCGTGATTTTCATGTGGGGGAGCTTTGCGAGTGCAAATTGGCAGTTGACTTCAAAAATGGACTTTAATTGGAGTGTGTATGTGTGCTTGTGTATGTGGAGTAGTGTGCGAGTAGTTGTTGCTGGCAGAAGTTTTCCAACGAAGTTTGAAGGACTCAATTTGAAGCGTGCGGTACGCGCGAGACTGTGACGAGTGCTGGAAATGGGAATAGGTTGGGAATTGGAAGTTGAAGTTAAAGCGTAAATGGGAATGTAGCTCTACCAAGGCTAAAGTTATAATTTATTTGAGCTAAATTAAATTATTACAGCAACAGACAGACAGAGATACTAACGGAATAGAGCATTAAGTGGGGCGGATGGGGGACAATGACAAATATTTGGTGCCCAGTTATAAAATGCACCCAAAGGCAACATCACAAAACTTTTTGGCAAATGACTCGAGCGCATGAAAGGCGTGCCATAAACGTTGCTGATGATGATGACAATGGCTATGATGATGATAATGATGATGCTAGTGATGGCCCAGGAATGTGTGCAAACAATGTGCCTGTGTCCTGTCCAGCATGTTGTCGATTTTATGTGCCATGCTTCGTGTCTCTCCGAGATAAACGCAAGGGCCGCAAAAATGTGTAGCATGCCTTTAGGCGACGGACACAAGACATTAGAATTCATTACAAATTATGTAGCTCAACTTCTTCTAACCCCAAACCGAATACTCCACGTTCCATGTTTGGCAATTAAACAGTGCACATGTTACTCGACGAATACATGAATAGTAACCTATGTTGGACACGATGACATTCAGTTACTCTGCACAAGGCATTCGCTTGGATTAGTTCTGTTAAGGACTTAACTAGCTAGCTGAAGGTGCACTGAAAGGAGTCCACTGTTTTATTATTGACTATGTGCCGGAAGAAGGCATAAAGAATTCTCGTAAGCGGATTGCGAAGTCAAAGCCCGTTTGCACTAAATCCATGCGTATGTCTTTTGACTAAGATACTAGTTGGAATTTAATTTCAACTCAAGTGCGTTTTTATTTTCAGTATTTTTCCATGAGTTGATTCTTGAAAGGCTTAAGGCAAAATGTTCCTCAAAGTTAAAATAAAAGGAAAATTTAACTGAAGAAATATACATTCTCATATCAAGCAATATTTAATAATTTCCAAAATTCCATTTATAATATTGTGATATAAATTAGATTTGTTGTGATATAAATTAGAAACAAACATTTACGAATGCTTTTTATAAAAACGCTCCTCCTTAATTAGATTTATTATAAAAATAATTGAATAAAAATATTTAAATAATTAAATTAGAATGATAAAGTTCATATGAAATGGAAACTGTT